TGCAGAGTGAAGGGACCTCAGGAAAGCTAATTAAACCTCTCTGAGTCTCAGTTTCTCATCTGTATGGGTGTGTGTGTGTGTGTGTGTGTGTATATATATATATATATATATATATATATTGCCGATGGGCATCATGGGCTTGTGAGCATTGCAGGGGCTAAGGCACAGGAGCACATGCTCACTGCCTGGCCATGGCATGTTTTCAGCAAATTGTTTTGATGGTGACAACAGCAATGATTCTCTATGACCTCCTCGGGAGACCAACCCTGCCTCTAGTTCAATTGTCCTTTTGTGGACAGCTGGAATTTCCCCATACTTCTACAGAAGTCTGTTTCCTACTCTGTCATCAGGATCACCTCCCTCTTCCTCATCCCTGTCATGGTTTAGATCCCCAAAGGCTCAGGTGTGGAAGACCAGGTCTCCACGGCACCAACGTCCGGAGGTGGGGCTTTGGGGAAGTGATTGGATTATGAGGGCTCTGGCCTCACCATGGATGAGCCCACTGAGAGATTCAGAGCCGAATGGACTATTGGGAGAAGACTAGAGGTGGGGCTTAGCTGAAGGACAGAAGTCCTAGGGGGCATGCCCTCTGACTGTGTCCTGTCGGTGGCCCTTTCTTATCTCTCTCTGCTTCCTAACTACTATGAGGTGAGCAACTTCCCTTCACCATGCCTTTCCACAGTGATGTTCTGCCACATCTCAGGTGTAAAGCAATGCAGTTGACCAACTATGAATTGAAACCTCTGAAACAGTGAGCCAAAATCAGTCTTTCCTCTGATAAAGTGTTTTTCACAGGTATTTTGTGACAGCAATGAAAAGCTAATGAACACACTTTCTCATTTAACAGAGAGATTGTGTTCCAACCAGACCTGGGATGACAAGTACTCTAGCTAGGTTGGACAGAGCAAGCAGAGGCAAAGAAGTGTTTACCAGGGGCAGGTGTAGGGCCAGGTGTGAGGCCCGGAGCAGGAGGAATTGGGGCAGGAGGAAGAGGAGCCACTGTGATTCTGTGCCCACCAGCAAGCCCGACAGTGACTTTGGCCCATGGAGCAGAGGAGGGTTTCCTGCTGGAAGCATGCCCACCGTGCAGGGGATCTGTTTCCATCTGCTCATTTTACTGCTGAGTTGTAAAGTGCTAAATGTCATTATCCTCCCCTTCCTTAAACAAGAAAAAAGTTAACAGCCTGAGAAAAGGAGATATTTCACTTCATTTGGCATCTAGCCACCATCATCCACACAGGATGCTCCCTGGGGTCTGATTGGAGACAGGGAGAAGCCCTGCTCTTTTCTGCTTTCAGCAGCAAGCACCCGGCTGGGGCTGGAAGCTGGAGGCCAGGCCAGAGCTCAGCTGCAGAGTAGCCAGGCACCCTCTGAACAACTCCAATACCGTACCAGGTGCCATGACAGAAAGCGAGAATAGGGGCCAAGGACCAAGTGTTCTGACCAAGTGCTTATTAGGGTGTGCATGGCCTCAGAAGATAAACTTGAATTGAGGAAAGAAACTGCAGAGAAGACRACTTCAACTCAATAGAGGGATGAACTCAGAAGATGTAGATCTGCTGGAAAATGAATTGATTCCTCTATAAAGTCCAGAACTGCTTYTCTTCCAAAGGCGTGCAATTGTGTAGACCCTCTTCCAGAACACTCACTGTGGGGAGGAGTTTCGTAGTAGATGGGAGGCTGAGACAGGTGATGTCTAAGGTTCTTTCCAATTCTGAGACCCTGGGAACCTGTAACTGGGGGATCTCGGCTATGTTCACCATCTGTAACATGCCTCGCTCGTGCCGGCTGAACCCCAGTCCTAGGCTGCCTAATGATGGCTGCTGGACCCTGAGGAAGGCTCCATTCTCATTGCTCTGATTGTGTGGCCACTAAAGCTTTCACTTTGCAGTGCTCCCTGAGARGCCACTTCAGTTGCATGACAGCTGTCCTCCCAGCCCCATAGTGGGCAGAGGTGTCCCTTGGGCTTAAAGCTGTAAGCCGCCTCCCCAAGCAGCTGAGATCACARTTTGAGAGGACTGTCAGGCCTGGCCTGAGCAGTGGCTTGCTGAAAAGGGGTAGTCAAGAACCAGRTCCTGGGCCCCAGGGACAGCCACGTTCTCCTCCCCAACCCTGCTGGACTTTGGAAAGGCTACTCACCCTAGCTGAGGATGGCTAGAATGGAGGAGGGACAGTGCTTTGCCATCTAAAACCATCGATAGCTTCCCATAGGTCTTCCAAAGTTCTTGCAATGACCCATAAGACCCCAATAACTGTTCCTCATGGTCTAAGCAAGGACAAGCTCTGTTTTGTTCCCTACTGTAGCCCCAGAGTTTGGCATTGGCCAGCACTTGGTAAATATTTGTTGAGTAAATGAATGGAAGGGCTGTCATCCTCCTGGGTCTGAAAGAAGCCAACTGGGCAAGGAGGACAGAGAGCAGTGGACCACGAGTCTGGAGGTGGTTTTGAGCTTGACCTTAGAAAAGTCTCTGCCCACTGGGCCTCAGTTTCCCAATCACAGAACTAGGAGATTGGTGTGAGGCTGGATARGAGGTAGGAAGAAAAGTCATTTTCTGTCTGATCTTCAGACCTTAAGGGACCTTAGGCTGYAGACCTGCCCCTAACCTGAGTCCTGTGAACCTGGCAATAGAGACACCTGTTTGGAATTGAGGTGCCAGCTCATTGCTGTGGGTTTGCTCAGTTCAACCTCAAAAACTAAGACTTTCTTATATGTAAAGCTCAGTGCAGGACTTCCTGGACAAGGTGCCTTGGAGCTGAGCACTTGGGATAGAAATGACCAGGAAAAAAAAAAAGCCAATGGAGGAACAAAATGTGGAAAGGCCCAAAGGCAAGGCAGTTTAGGAATGGAGTTGGGGGAAGAGCAACAGGTAGGGCTGGTGCTCACAGGACACTGGGAAAGCCAACTCTGGAGGGAAGATGACACATGTCCTGCAGGGCTGTGTTCAGGAGGAGGCACAGAACAGGGTGGTTCACTTCAGGTCCTGGCTCTTCACACACTTACCTGTGGCCTTGTTTGTGTCGCAGTGTCCTCATTTCTGTAAAATGCCTACCCTTCAGGTGAGTGAGAGAATTCAGTGAGGTTACACACATGAAGTGCCTAGCACATAGTAGGCAGTCTGGGGAATGGGATTTCTTACCTCTTTTTGGCTTTCGGTTAATATGCAGATAGCCCTGAGGAAACTAGAATGGGTGTTTGTTAATCATTTAAATGATCAGTGTGAATGCGGTTATCAGAAAGAAATTTTATTAAAAAGGTTACGATAGTCAGGCGCTGTGGCGCACACCTGTAACCCCAGCGGCTCAGGAGGCTGAGGCAAGAGGATCTTGAGTTTAAAGCCAGCCTCAGCAATGGCAAGGCACTAAGCAACTCAGTGAGACCCTGTCTCTAAATAAAATACAAAATAGGGCTGGGGATGTGACTCAGTGGTCAAGTGTCTCTGGTTCAAAAAAAAAAAAAAAAGGTTATGACAGGAGGCAGGGGCAATGGAGGGAGAAACGCATGAACTTGGGGACAAGAAATGCAAGGAAGGAAACACTGGAGGTGGGGGCACCAACTTCAGCAACTTTTTAAATCTTGCCAGTAGGGAAGTGGAAGGAAATGCATCTCCATCTTAAGGAAGGTCATAGTCATGGTCTTGGTTGAGAAAGGATGGGAGTGGGCAGGATGAAGGGAGAAAAGGGCCACAAGTACTGCCCACTGATGAGTCACCTCCTGGCCTCTGATGCAATGAAGACGAGAGGAGAAGGAGGTGGGGAGAGAATACCACAGTGCCAAATGGTGAGCCATGGTGAGCCTGAGGTGGAATTCAGCAACCTCAAAGTGGCCTCCTTGTCTGATTTCTAGGTATCTGGAAAGCATCAGTGGCGTTAAAAACATTGACTATCACAGTGCACCATGGTACAAGTGTCACACAAACCTTTAACACATAATAATGTTTTAGCATTGATCAGTTTACTATTATTTTTCCAAACCTTAAAAATGCTGAAAGTAAGCTTCAGATTCAGGGCAAGGACACAGAAAGTGGGACTTTGGGCAAATGCTTCCCTTCTGTGACTCTCAGTTTCCCATCTGCATAGTGAAGGGGTCAGACAGTGTTGTACTTCAGAATGGTGCCACTCTACCACTCTCACCCTCTAGTTCCTTGGTTTCAAAAAGCAATATAGAGCTGCAGTGCAAGGCTGCCACCCTGTCCCTGGTGGAGCCTGAGGACCATGGCCATGAACAATGCAGGGAGGATAGCTCTTCAAAGAAAGGAAAAGATGCAAAAAGAAATAATAAATCTTGCTTTTCTGGTGTCTGGCAAAAACTTAATCTGGGATTTGGGGTTAAAGTAGTTCCTGTGTGTGAGACCACAGAATCTAGCTCAACCCTTGTACAATTTGGTGGCTATCAGGTCTACTAAGTCTTTGAYAAAATTCCACATCAAAGATTCTGTGATGATGATTCCAGAACATAAAGGTCCAAGTTCTCCCTCATTCTCTCATAGAAGATTCAAGATTGAGAGTAGGTGGCATTTCCTAATGGGTGGGGCCCCTAGATTTTCTYCAGAACAGAGAAGTCAAGTAAAGGTTCTATTGACAAGTTCTATTTCAAGGAATTCCAGAGGACTTTGGAACGATGCCTACCAAGAATGACACCTGCTGGAAAACTGGTAGGAGGTGGAGAAAGGACTGAGCACCCAGGTTTAAGTTAAGGCCYTGCCTTAGCCCACTCACTGTGCCACCCTGCCCTTGATTCCACTCTGAACTTTTTCTGGCTGCAGGACTCGAGACTGCAGTCAACAGTCAACGTTAGTCTTTTCGTTTTTTGAGACAGGGTCTCCCTCAATTTGTCCAGCGCGGGCGTGAAATCGCAGTCCTCCTGCCTCAGCAGTTGGGATCACAGGTGTGCACTCTCTCATCCGGCAACCCCTTATCTTCTTACAGAGAATGGCTCATGAGAGTCCCCAAACTGGCAGTCAGGCCTTAGTGGGCAGCTCAAACTGCCTTAGTCTCAATGTTCACCTCTCAGTTTCGGAAAAGGAATCTGATTGGCTACCGCAAGCAGCCTGCGGGTGGCTGGGGGGCACAACTTCAGTGCTTAGAACAGCCTCAGAACCTGGGGCGGGGCCTCTGGGGGGCGGGGCCTGGACTCCTGCAACTCCAAAGGAGAACGCACGGCGCCTGCGCGCCTCTCCACTCTCACCCTCTACTTCCATGGTTTCGAAAAGCATTCGCACTAGCGCTGGCCGTCCCTGGGCCACCAAGGCCCCGGCCACTCCCAGCATCTCATCCGTGTGGCTGCGCCACACGCGTTGCAGCTCCTGGCGCAGACAGGCCTCCGGGTACTTGCCCYGGGCGCGGCGCAGCCAGGCGTCCACCTCAAGTCCCAGCTCCCCGTCGCTCAGCTGCGCCTGGCTCCACTGCACCAGCAGCGCCTCAAGCAGGCATCCGAAGCCCTCGGTGTGGCTGGAGCCCATGTCGTCCAGCTCCACSGCGCGCTTGAAGCAGGCCGCCGCGTTGGCCTCCTCGCCCTTGATGCGCAGGCACTTGCCTCGTAGCAGCTGCAGCTCGGGCAGCGTGGCGCCCAGCTCGAATTCGCCGGCCTTGGCCAGGAAGACCAGCGCCTGGTTGAGCGCTGCCTCGTCCACCGCCAGCAGCTCCCGCATGGCGTCCACGCCCATGTAGTAGTAGACCTGGGGTGGGGGGGCCGCTGAGCCTTCCTTCCAGTAACACCGCCCTCAGGGTCATACCACCCTCAAGCTGGTTCAAAAAACACTTCCTTCATTTGGTCCACCCTCCCTACCTCCCTACTGCAGCAATTCTTAAACTCTGTAGCTGTCCCCGCCCCTGGAAAAGGAGAGGCAGTACCGGGATTCCAGTTCCAGCCCTCCCACTCTTGGCCAAATATAACCTTGAGCAAGTCAATCTCTAGACCCAGGTTTTCTCATATGTAAAATTATGATATTATCACCTCTTTGGTAACTATCCCCTGAGCATAGTAGTCACTTTTGGGTAAAGAATACTTATTGAGTACTTAGAGAGCCAGGYCCTCTTCTAAACACGGTACACACATCTCATTTCATCTTCCCCATGGCCAGAGGAGGTGGGTAGGGGGATGCCCCTTATTCCTATCCATGTCCTCATACTCAGGCCTAGCCTGGCAGGGAGTCAGTAGGTTATAAATGATCTTTTCGGTAATCAAGCCAAGAGGCTGCCTTACCTGGCCAATGTCCAGGTATGTCCTGAGGCCTGGGCACACCTTGACTACTTCTTCAAGGTCAGCTTTGGCGCAGGCCAGGTGTTTCCTGTCCGGCATGCCCCCAAGCCCCATCTTGGCCCGTGTCAGGTCATGCAGGTAGGCTCTGATGTGGATCTGCAGGCAGAGGATTAGCTCAGGGAAGGTGCTCAAGTAAGGACCTCCCTTCTTTCTGTCCTACAAGAACACCACCGTCCCTTTATCAATAGCAAACAGGGATGTTCTGTGGGGTAGCAGGAAGCTCCTAAGGCTGGGACCCAGGAATCCWAGGTTCTGGTCCTGTGGCAACTTGGGCTAGCTGCTCCTCTTTCTGGGCCTGTTTCTCTGTCTGTACAATGAGGGGACTGGGTGAAGTAAGTGGCCYTCATTCATTTACTCATTCATTCAACAAACATRTATCGAGTGCCCCCCCCCAATATTAACCATGTAACCTGGAGGATGTCACACCACCTCTGTGAGCCCCATTTTCTATCTCTGAAAAGTTAGTACACTGATACCTCCCTTGGGAGTTTTCCTGATGACTGAGAGATCATATTTTAGTTAGGCCCTAGCACATGCCCAGTTCCCTTGTTCATGTCTTCAAAAGATATTCATCATGAGCCAGGCACTGTTCCAGGCCCAAGGATACAGTGCAGAGCAAAATGTCRAAAGTCCTGCCTTCATGGAACTCATGTGTTATTACTGAGGGAGGAAGWCAATAAACATAATAAATGGTTAAATAGAGTGTTAGGGAGTAATTGGCATTAAGAAAAAGCAACCCTGGGGCTGGGATTATGGCTCAGCGGTAGAGCGCTCCCCTAGCATGGGTGGGACYCGGGTTCGATCCTCAGCACCACATAAAGATAAAAACATTGTGTTGTGTCTATCTACACCTAAAAAATAAATATTAAAAAAAAGAGCAAACCTGAAAAGGATAGAAAGTATTGGCAGGGAGTTGACCTTTTCAATAAGGTCACTAGAAACTGCCTTTTATCAGGCCTGCAAGAAGTGAGGGAAGAASTCAATCACATATCTGGGAGAAGAGCATTCTAGATGGAGGCTCAGGCCAGTGGGGCTGGAAAAGAATGAGAGACATGAGTAGAGGGAGGGGTGAGGCCATCATGACCAGGTTTGAGTTTATGGGCCACAGTGTGGTTCAAGGGTTCTACATAGGTCATGTGAGTCCCTCCCTCCTGCTCCTTCCTCCTCTGAACATCTAAATAATAAGTAACCTTTGGAACTACAGGGAAGCAGTAAGCTTAAGACACAAGGCGAGAGAGTGAGGAAAGTAAGGCTGGGGTTCTGGCTGTTTTTTTAATATATATATTTTAGTTGTTGATGGACCTTTATTTTATTCACTTATTTATATGTGGTGCTGAGAATCGAACCCAGTGCCTCACGTATGTGAGACAAGACCTGTACCACTGAGTCACAGCCATAGCCCAAGGGTTCTGGCTATTTGAGAGCAGATCGCTGGGAATGTTCACTGCGCCTTGGTGGCCTCATTTGTAGACTGACATAGGTCCGGTCTTTCTCAGATTCTTATAAGGATCAAATCAGACCACAATCATGAAAGTGCTTGGTGAAATGCAGAAATGCAGAGTTTTATAGAAATGTTTTATGGTGTATTATGATTAATATTCTTATTATTCATAATATTAACCATATCAACTACAGTGAAAGAATATGCTGACCCTAGTCCCTGATGGCACTAGGAGCAGGAAATTAAGCCGTGGAGACCAAGACCAGGAGCAGATTTGCCATTAGGTCATGTGAAAAGTAGTGGAAAAAATAGGGGGAAGAGGGTTGCTTATTAGCTTGGCACATAGTAAACTTGGAGCTCCTGGGCTGTCCCCAGGCAAATGACCTCTGTGAGGTTCCAGAGGGCAGATGTGGGCCCAGTGGGGAAAGATGGGAGGGGGCAGCTCTCACCGGAATGTGTAACTTGCAGCCCTAAAAAACTACGCAGGGGACTGTCACAAGAGACCACTGATCAGCTAAAAACATACCTAATAATAGCCATCAGTCACCTCTGAGCTCTTACCACATGCTTGGTGCTGAGTTTTACATAGAATCTAATTCACTTCTCAGAACCACTCTGTGAGGCAGGTACTACTATCTAGGGTCAGATAAAGAAACCAAGGTTTAGGAATTGGGCCCCAGTATTTTGTCAGAGGTCCCATGGCATGTCAGTGGTGACATGGGATTTGAATCAAGACTTTCTGTGTCCAGGACCAAAGCTCTGAGCCACCASACGAATCTACCTCCACTTAAAGTGGTATCTCCCACTTTCCAAAAGAACCTGCCATGCCCAGGTGCTATGCTTCAGCTTCTGAGAGCTTTTTAAGATGGGTGTTATTAGCTTATCTTACAGATTTGGGAACTGAGGTTTGAAGGGGTAGGTGGCTTGCCACAGGTTCCACAATCATAGCTGGAGAGACCAGATTTCAACAGTCTGATTCCACAGGCATCTGGAGGCTCCTGACCAGGTGCTGCAGAAGGGATCCCTGCCGTAGGAAGGGGCTCCTCTATTCTTGACCTCAGCAACCTTACTGACCACAACGGCGTGCCCTGATGACCCCTAAGTGGCCCTCCACCATGAAGGCTCCAGGTCCTTTGGGCTTTTGCAATAGGGTCATGGCCCCTGGTCCTTGGTCCCTGATGCCCAATGGGAGGCGCTGTGGGTGACCCACCTTGGCCCTTGTGCAGTATGCTTGCCAGTTGAGCTCTGGATCTCGTAGGACATCCAGGGCCATGTTACAGGTTCCAATGGCCATATCCTGCTTTCCTAGGAAGTGGAAGATTTTGGCCAGGTGATTCAGGATAGGAGGTTGGTCCTTGGCAATCTCGATGGCCTAGGTAAGAGAGGAGGGTAGAGACAAACCATGTATTGTCTGCTTGTCTGCCAGCCTGGATAAATGGCGCCTAAACCATAGGGACCCCACCTCTGCACAGAGTCCTGTCACCACGTGTGCTAACTCCACACCTACCTGCTGTATGTCAGTCATATCATGGAACCCAACACCTTTGGGGTACATCCACTGATACTCAGCTCCCAGAACCCAGCTCATTGCCCTGTTTCCTGGTCATGGCCAGCAAACCCTTCCAGACCCCAGGTAAACCCTCCTTCCCATGTGTGCTCTGCCATATTCCCAGGGTAAGTGAGAGGAGGGGCCAGAGTCAGCCCCTTCCCATATTTACAACGTTTCTAGCTGGGCCTCAGCACTTCCCCCTATGTTGGCATTGACTGCTGCTTGACCTAAGTGGCTTGCCCTAGGGCCACACAGCTTGTGAGCAGAACTGGTAAGAAAACCCCAGCTAGAGATCTTCTTTCCACTGTGCCACTGTGGTTGGGGAGGGAGGGAACCCTGCAGAGGAACAATGTGGACACTGGCCTCAGGGGAGAAGTCTGAGGGTCTATGTCAAGGTGGGAGAAATGAGCTTGGGCCAGCTTGAATGTGGGGAAGGACTTGGTCTTAGGCAGAGGAAAAGAGTCACAAAGGAGCCCTTTTTGTTTAGAACTAGGGGAAGGGTGGAAAGGGGTGTGGAGTAAGTGCCTTCTTGTAGGACACATGGTGGAGGAATGACATCTAGAGAAGCCATGGGTCCTCCAGGAGAGCCCCCCCGCCTCCAGTTTGCAGAGGGGTTGCGGTTTGGGGACATACCTTGCCGAAGCAGTCCAAGGGGTCAGTCCCGGAGTACCCACAGTCGTGGATGCCCATAGGGGTGGTGGAGAAGGTGTCCTTCCTCTCCAGCAGCATCCCAAGATAGCACCAGGCCAGCGCTAGGGTAGGGGGTGGGAGAGGGACTCTAGGAAGCAGCGATGGGGGAGGAAGGGAAGGGGAGCCAGGGGTGGGGCGGAGACAGCTCCACTCAAGGCACCCATGATGACAAAGGAAGGGACAGTGGCAGAGAGAAACAAAGGYGGAACAAGGGGACATGGGAGGGAGTGAATGAACAGGTTTTGGTGCCCATTCTGAGTCTAAGGTGTCACCTAGGGAACCTCATTTCAGGGTCATAGCTCTCTTCTGACTTCTCTGGGTGGGTGCAGCGCCTATTCTGGCTTCTGGCCTTAGAGAAGATGGCGCTCTCTCTCTCTCTCTCTCACACACACACACACACACACACACACACACACTCTCACACACACCGGGTCAAGCAGACTTTCATCTCCCACCATAGAGTGAGGGTGGTGGGCTGGAGCAGGACAAGATCTCCCTCCAGGTCCTGAGACCAACTGGGAACTTTGGGAGCATGTCACTGTAGTGATTTGTAATTGGGTGTTCCCTGGGGCCAGGTGGGAGGGCTCCTGAGGTAAAGAAATGAGCAGGTGACACAAACAGGGAGGGAGAAAGAAAAGGGACAGAGTGCCAGACGTGGGGACAGTGCCACAGGCCAGCAGTGCCAGTGACAGGTGCAAGGACAGTGGGGCAGAGGCTGCCACTCCGCCCACCCCTGGGGTCCCTACCTCGGTGTCGGGGGTCCGAGGACTTGAGGACCTGCCGCAGCAGGGCCAGGGTGCGGTTGAAGGCAGGCAGCCTCTTCTGCTCCTCGCTGCCCTGCTCCAGGAAGATGCCATCCAGCCTGTGGCCGAGAAGGGGCTGTGGCTGGTCGGCGCCCCCTCCCAGCCACCCCCAGKTGAGCAGCCCTCCAGAAGCCCTTGCCTGGAATGGGCTCCACCACCTCTGCCCCCACCCGCTGCCTGGTTCCAGGCCCAGCCAACGGAGCCACACCTCCCCAGTCCTGCACCCCCTTCCACCCCTGGCCTGACCTGATGAGGAGGGTTGCCATGGTGAAGTACCAGCCCCTTTTCTCCTCCATCGGGATCTGGGAAAGCAGAGAATGCCATGCTGCTGTTATGGAGGCCATTGTCCACCTTGAACCCCAAGAGGCAGCAGGCACAATCGAAGGGCCTTAGCCTAACACACCTTTGATGATCATCTTGGCTCTGCCGGTAACTGGCTGGGTGTCCTTGGACAAGTTGCTTCACCTCCCTGACCACATAGGATTTGACAAGATAAGCTGTGTGACCCCTACTGAGGTGCCTGTCACAGAGTAGGTGTGGAATCCCTTTCCTTCCTGGCCCTGGCTCCTCCACCAGGCTCTGGCTGCCCACTGGGGGCTCACACCCCACGGGTTGCCTTCTCTCTCCTCTGCTCTCGTTACTTCTCCCGTGGTGCTTTCCCTCAGCCCCCACTTTCCTGAGAAAGCCCCTCAGGCATGTTAAGTGAGTCCGGCTCAGCCCAAGCCCAGGACGCCCCTGGACTGTTTCCCATTATTATTCTTGCCAACCTTGATGTGCATTTAGACCAACTTGGGCACCAGATAAAATATTTATGCCGTTATTTATGGGAGTAGCTGCTCCTGCCTCGAGAAGGAATTTTAATGAAAACCAATAAAACCCCCAGTGCATATCGGCAGCTCTGCCTCAGGGTCCAGCCCCTCCTTCCACATTCATCGCCCACGGTTGATCTTCTGCACTCCCTGCCCCCACTGTGGCCTCCTCAGCTCAAGACCCCCATCATCCATGCACTCCGCCCCAGCAGCATTCCAAACACCTCCAGCACCGGTGCTCGGGGGACGTGACAGTGAACAGCAGCTGCACCCTGACTTGAACAGGCTCCCAAGCTGGCTYGGGAAACAGACGCAGGTATCAATAACAGGCACAGGATTCGACTTTGTGTTGGCTGTGGGCCAGGATCTTGATACCATCACCTCAATCCCACAATCCAGGAGGGAGGTGTTAGACCCATTTTATGGGTGAACATATTGAGGCCTGGAGAGRTAAAGTGACTTGCCCAAGGTCACAGAATTTGAGAGCATCAGAGCTGGGCATCCAATGCCTTTTGGCTCCAAAGCCCATGCTCCCTTTGCCACATGAATTGCCAAAAACTGTAGTCGGATCAAGGTCATGAGCGCAATATGGACCAGGATGCAGCAGGATGGACAAAGACTCCCAGTTAGAGGCTGTGGATTTTTTTTTTTTAAAGAGAGAGAATTTTTTTTAATATTTATTTTTTAGTTTTCGGCGGACACAATATCTTTCTTTGTATGTGGTGCTGAAGATCGAACCCGGGCCGCCCGCATGCCAGGCGAGCGCGCTACTGTTTGAGCCACATCCCCAGCCCAAGGCTGTGGATTTAAGATGGGCAGTAGCACTTCAGAGGGATCCTCATGTGGGATGGAGACCAGGGCACCCCCAAACCAAGGGCCTGGCATGAACAGAGACACGGGGATGTGTGGAACAGACACCCTGGAGCTGTATGTGTGATTGGGTGAGGGGGGTCAACATTGGCAAGGAGACCTTGGATGAACTAGGAGCGGGGAGGGATGCAGAGAGGAGACCTCATGCGTGAGACTCACTTGAGTGGCGCCTGCCCATCGGGTTGAGAGCCCTGGCCCCAGCCAGAGCTCGCAGAGGAGGACCCACCGACAGCATGTCTTAGCCTATACTTCCCTGCTCTCTGTTCTGTGTGTCCTTAGGCTGAGCAATGAGGACAGGAGAGGAAAGATGAGGCCCATCCTGAGGGGCCCTTGGTCTATCAGTCCGAAAGATACAGTTGGAATAGAAGGGACATAGGTGCCCTGGGAGCCCAGAGGAGGTATCTGCCCAATCCAGGAGTTCCCTGGGGCTTCTCAGAGGAAGCAACCTCGAGTAGGTCCTCAAGGATGAGAGGAATCACCCAGGTGATACCACGAGGAAAGGCATTCCCAGAGGCCACCCTATGCCCAAACTCAGAGGAAAACGAGTGTGAATGGCAGGATCCGCAGGCAGCCCTGAGGATAGACCCCGGTGGTAAGGCGCAGGGGAAAAGTCAGCAGGAGCATATTAGGAGGGATTCCCATGCCAGGAGCTCATCTGCAGGGCAGTGGGGAGTCACAGAAGGAGTGTGAGCTAGGGAGTGCCAAGATCCAGTGTGATTTTATATTCACAGCACCTTGGAGGGTCATCCTGTCACATAGATGGGAATAAGTGCACTGGGGCTTTAGCTGAGAATAGTGCTCTCTGGAGGGGAGAGATGCAGGCCCTGAGGGTCAAGGCCTCCTTCAGAAGTGGGGAACATTTCCCAGGGCCAAAAGAGGGGGTAGGATGCTGGATCACTTTGTCAGCTTTCCTTACAGGGGATGTGGGAAGGAAGAAGGGGCTTGGATTTATGGAGCACCCTCTGTGGGCCACACTGACCAAAGACCTGGACATAAAGTCAAGGCCTGACCACGGTTAGYGCTAAAGGTAGTGGGGCCTTGGTTACCTGGACACTTGTTGGTGTGATCTCAGGACTCTGGCCACAGCCTGCTTTGTGGCTGGCTGAATAGTCATAGCAGGAAAGAGGCCCTGACCTGTCTTCAGTGCTCCTGGCAAGGGGTGAGGCCAAGTTGGAGTAGGTGGAGTGGACTTTGGCTTCTGATATTCAGAGCAGAGGCCTGGGTGTCCCACAGGCCTGGCCTGAGGTATGACCCTAGGGATGAGTTGCCTCTGAAGGCTATGCCCTCATCTGCAAAGTAGGGTGGCACTATGGGCTTCCAGGAAGTTCCAAGGGCAGTGCCAGGCCCAGAAGAAATGTTTATTCCCTTTCTCCTGTTTTGGGTTGGAGCCAAACCGAGTTAGTTTCTCTAGTTTCTAAGTTAGTTGCTTTGTCCACTGAGACCTGTTTTGGTGTCCTATGGGGGCAATGAGGTCCCAGGATCCAGAGTCTAGAGACACCCTGCCTCATCCCATTCTCCGTACCTCATGTCTCCCAGGACTGCAGGACCCTGTGGGGTCCCAGGTAACTTTCCCAGTGTTTAAGTTGAGTGCTCTGTTGTCCCCGGGGCTCTTCCTGGTTCATAATCACTCTCGTTTGGTATTCAAGCCAAAATAAATTAAATTTTGTGCCCAAGCCAGACATTTTTGCATGATAGAACTAGGACTTAACCTGTGCCTCCCATAGTTCTAGCCCCAAGCGTAGTCCACAACACTCAGTTGTCTTATCAATCTCATTATGTATTTGAGAACACTGAGACTAGAGTGGTGAAGTGACTTACCCAAGGTTCTACACTTGTTAGCATCAGAATTTAGAACCCAGAGGCTGCCCCTCCCTCCTGCAGAAGGGAGGAGCTGTTCACCTCTCCTGGAGAATAAAGTTGCCTGCAAGGAATGGTGCTACAGGGTTTATGACTCCCAGAGGCCAGGGACTGGAGGCAGAATGAGAGGAGGCTCAGAGGCCGGCTTCTGGGAAAAAGGTATTTCCCCAGGATTTGCCTGGTGTGGGCTCTTGGAGGACACCTCACTGGTCACTGTTGAAAATCTTCCAACAGTTCAGCTTCCTTATGGTTTTCACTAAGCAAGCAATATCACCACCTGGTGGCTGTGTGCTTGAATTGCAGGGGTAGAGCCCAGAAGTGAACGCCTTCCGAACTTCCAAGAATCTTTTGGAAAATTTGATTTTCAAAAAAGGATCTAACTGAGTGACATCTGTGTGACAAATCCCAAATTCCCTCAACAGATCCCACTTGAGAGTGCTGTTTGCAGGAGGGTTTGTGGAGTTACAGACGAGGTCAGTGGAACTGGAATGGAGTTAATGGAGTAAACAGATCTAGTTGGAGTCCTTGATGTGCTGGGGCTTTCGTCTTCTACCCCTGCGATGAAGCAGTGGTGGAGGCTGTTCGCTCTGCCGTGCAACTCTGGCCTGCTTGTAAATGGGCTGTCTCTTTAAAAATTCTTCTGGTTGTTGCAGAAGCAGCAGCTGCAGCGGTTACCGGGGCAACCTGGCAAGCCACAGTGCGTTAAATTAAATTAAAYAGGCCTCTGGCTGCCCCTCCCTCCCGCAGAAGGGAGGAGTTGTTCACCTCTCCTGGAGAATAAAGTTGCCTGCAAGGAATGCTGCTACAGGGTTTATGACTCCCAGAGGCCAGGGGTTGGAGGCTGAATGAGAGGAGGCTCACAGGCTGGCTTCTGGGAAAGAGGTATTTACCCAGGATTTGCCTGATGTGGGCTCTTGGAGGACACCTCATGATCTCCTTAGTCCCTGAGCTGGGGATTCTGTGTGAGGCCAGCATGGGAGTCCAGGCTTCAGCTGGAGGGGTCTCTGAGAAGGCGGCTGTCCTGTGGCAAATTTGTGGGAGGGAACTGGTGAGGCCCATGATGCCCCTGGAGTGAAATCTGCAACCCTGATACTGACTGAAGGTGAGAGTGAAGGGCAGACCCCAGTGAGGGGTTCTCAGGTCATTTCCCAGGTCCTCTGAGGTCCTTGTCATTATTCTCTTTATTTCAGAGTTGGGAAAACCAAGATCAAAAGAAGCAGAGATCTGACTACTTGTCCTGATATTTTAGGCTAGTTCTCTCTGACTTCAAGTTCATGTTCTTCCCATAACATCTAGCTTGCAGAGAGCTAGTGTTTGTACAGTGTTTACTATTTACAAAGTGCTTTTGCATGATTCCATGTGATTCTCAGAATGTCCTGTGTGGAGGGTTTAGTACAGATGGGAAAACTGAGGCAAGATGGGAAAAAGCCCCATGGCCCCGGTCACCATGGACTGAAAGCTGGGGAGGACCTCCTTTCTGCTATACAAATACGAGGAAATTTTATGGAGCACGTATTATACACTAGACACACCATTATGTATATTAACCCATTTGACTCTCTCAAGTGTTACCTATGAGGCAGGGACTATTATTATCCTAATTTTACAGATGAAGCAGCTGAGGCACACAGTAGTCAGGTCATGTGCCCAGAGTGAGASTGACACAGCTGGAGGCTAGGAGAACTTGAACCCAGCAACTTTAACTCCATGGTCCCTACATGTAACTACTGCAGAATAATGGTGCTGAAAGCATCGGTCCCAGACCA